CCTTCGGCTATTAAGCGACTTAATGAACTATCGCTGCCTGTTTAAATTGATAGGCAATAGAAAACCGATTGAAGGCTCATGCACCATTTAAGTGTGTGTTTATGCAAAGGAATATTTCTCGAATCGATACTAGGGTTAAAAAAACCCGGTTAGTACATGTTGGACTGTGTTTGTGTGTGTTGTTCATAGTCAAGGTTTATCTTTTGTATATTATAGGTGGAAGAAGTAAAATAATCAGAACATTATTTTATGAATTGTGTCCCCAATTCAAAATATCATACCAGTTTTCTAGGCTTCACTATTTATGATACATCAAAATTCAAAATCTCTAAAGGCTGGTTATTTTTTACATGAATACGAAAGCACCCGTGCGATGGATGCCTCGTCACTGCTTATCATCGCAAACGCTCTTTGGTGATTCAACGATAAATTGACATTGACAATTAAATAGTTTTTACTGGTGATAGGACCTCTTGGAGTCCGCACGGGTAGGTACCACCGCCCCGCCTATTTCTGCCGTGAAGCAGTAATGCGTTTCGGTTTGAACGGTAGGGCAGCCGTTGTAACTATACTGAGACCTTAGAACTTATATCTCAAGGTGTGTGGCGCATTTACGTTGTAGATGTCTATGGGCTCCAGTAACCACTGAACACCAGGTGGGCTGTGAGCTCGTCCACACATCTAAGCAATAAAAAAATAAGAAAAAGAAATATAGTAAACTACTTTTTAAAATTATTTGAACATATATGTTTTTTAAATTCAAATACCTTAAAAGACGTATTTAGCTCACAAATGTGCCGCAGGATCTAGAACGCTGACGATGCACTGCTTCGTTTATTCTAGTCGTCAGCTTCGCCAATCGTGACGCCAATAATCTGAAAAAACAAAACACTTGTTGTAAGAAAATATATAAAAGTTTATTGTTTTGCAAACGTAGACAAAAAAAAAACTTTAATCATTGATTTTGTCGTTTTTATTTGATTATACGGGTGGATGAACTCAGGTCTCCTCACCTGGTTAGTCTAAATTTTAATGCATTCTATAGTATAATGGTTAGCCCACCCTTGAATACCTACTACTGTTTGCTGCTTTCTTATTCGGTCCGAAGTTTGAATATAAAAATCGTTAACTGATTTTATCACATCTCACGCAAAAAAAAGTGGTAAAAAGAAGGGATAAAAATGAGATTAGATGAGAATTCAAAGGGTGACGACAGTGACTGGCTGTCTATAAATACCATAAAGAGGTAAATACAAAAGAGTTCAGTATCTTTGTTCTGTTTGCTAACCGATTTTTGTTTGTTTGGTTAGTAGATAAAACGATCTTTGTAGTATTATTAAGAATGAGACTATTTTCATGTTTACCGAAGAAAATATAAATAAGAAAACTTCTTAGGATATATTTAACACACAAAATTAATCTAACTCTTGAGGCGTTATAGACAAATTCGAAAAAAAAATAGTGTTTGATACAAAAACATCGTTTTAAGAGATCTACTAACATAATGAGTCCTGGTTATTTCAATAAATAAATAAATAATAATAATATACATAATTAACACATGATTCTGTAGTACATAATATGCGTACATCATTTCGAGATCCTATAAGGTTATTGTAAATATATATAATACTAGCTGACCCGGCAAACGTTGTGTTGCCTTAAATAAGATTTCTAGGGAAATTCTAGTCTAATATATAAAATTCTCACAAACCTCATTCAACCACATAATATAGTAAGCGGCACGTAAGTTGGCAAGGTTTTGGTGTAGTGGGGGTAATGTCGCGCATAGTGTACATTGCAACAAAAAAATGGTCACTTTTATTGCCCGCATATATGTTAATTTTATTTTATTAAATTTTNTTACCTTTAACTCCTACTCGACTCTTTTACCTTTAACTCCTACTCGACTCTTTTACCTTTAACTCCTACTCGACTCTTTTACCTTTAACTCCTACTCGACTCTTTTACCTTTAACTCCTACTCGAATCTTTTACCTTTAACTCCTACTCGAATCTTTTACCTTTAACTCCTACTCGAATCTTTTACCTTTAACTCCTACTCGAATCTTTTACCTTTAACTCCTACTCGAATCTTTTACCTTTAACTCCTACTCGTCTCTTTTACCTTTAACTCCTACTCGACTCTTTTAACCTTTCAACTCCTTTATCTCCACTCACAAACGACAACATAACATAACAAATAACCTCAGATAGCTTTATTCAACACTCGAACTCAAATATAACTTTTCATTTCCATAAACTTTCATTATCTTTTATATTTTTCTCACTTCCTAAATTTTCCCACTTTTTGCACATATCCGTTCAATTATTTTAATATAACACAAAAACAAGAATTCCAAACTGCCATAAAAAAAAAAAACAAAACAACAATAATACAAAACTATAAAAGAGATTCAAAAGGATTTTAAAAAACGACTGTAAATATGTTTGTATCAAATAATGTGTACTTCCTCCACGGCTAGACTATCTATTGTATTTATAGTATAATTAATAAAAAAAAAATTATTTTTATGATCACCCCCTTAATTGTTTATGTCTGTTGAAAAAGAGCACCCTCTTAATTTTGAATTCATTGAAAACACCCCCTTACTTTATGAATTATCCTTGTCTCTTTTTAGTTATATCTCTTGTTGTATATAGCATTTAAATTTCCCTATCAATCTTATAAACTAACCCATTTCTCCCGAAACACAAGTTCACTTTTTTTTAAAAATGAATACACTTAAAGTCTCAAAGTTTTCCATGACCAGATTTTCATTTGTTAATCTGCTATCATTTGTTCCATTTTCATTTCATTCTCTATTATTTCGCCTTTCAACAACATCTCGAACTATACGCCATTTCTACTTTATTACACTCCATTACTATTATTTCCTCTAATATCACCTTCTCGAACTCCACTAACTCTCCATTTCTTCCTATTTCACCTTCTCGAACTTCATTAACTCCATATCTTCCTCTAGCACCTGCTCGAACTTCGTCAACTTCGTCTTCACGATTATCTTTATTCGTTACTTATGTTAGTGTTCTCCCTTTCATTACCTTATCTCATGCTCTTATAATAATTTTCTGTTTTGAATGGTTTTATTTTCATTAAATTCATTACATATTGGTTGCTAAGAAAAATTTTTACAAACAGTTTCGTTTCCATGGTGATGTTGTAGGCGTAGGTGATGTTTTAATCAGCAAACTATAATAAATATTACCTTATAAATTCTGGTCTGGGCCCATAACCTGTTGGATGGTTAAATTTGAGGGAATTGGGTTCTGTAGGTGATGAGGGGCTATTTAAAAACACAACTGCTTCATTATAATTATATTGCAGATAGCTTTAACACTTTTACACCATTATACAATTTTTATCTTTATATTTTTTATAAAACTATTACATGTTTTTCATGCCGTGTCTAGATGAGAAGTAACTGACATTTTCTTACGAGAATACAATGATCTGTTTTTTTAAAACATTTAAAATAATTCCAATATTCGAAATCTAATCAAGTGTCAAGTGTTGCCTGCCATTACATTTAATATACAAACTCCAACAATTACTAATATAATGTAATTACTTAGAATTGTTTATGCCGCTACAACAATAAAATTTATATTGTTTCAACTGTGGTGTTAATTACATAAAACACGACTTTACGGCGAAATAAAGAAGGGACTCTATATGAACTCCCTCAAATTAAAATAATACATGACTTAAAAGTCTAAGTAACCAGGTCATAAAATCCCTTAACAAAAGGAACGAAAAGACTTTTTGGCGGGAACGCGAGGAGTGAAGTTGTGAGATTTGTTTTATTTTGTCTACTATTGTATCTTCAGGTTTAAATGTGTAATAACGGTGGTTTACTAACTGTTTATTATCTGTGAAAGTGCACAAATGTGGGAAAATGAAACAAAGCCGCCGAACGTACTTTTTTTTTTATTGCTAGGTAAGTGGACGAGCTCACAGCCCACCTGGTGTTAAGTGGTTACTGCAGCCCATAGACATTTACGACGTAAATGTGCCACCCACCTTGAGATATAAGTTCTAAGGTCTCAAGTATAGTTACTTCTTCTTCTCGGGATCTTCCAAAAAGTCCACTGAAAAGTCTCAGTAAACCTACCACCATTTTACTGAGATTATAAAATATGTCATCCCATATCATCAAATCTCATTTCATTTAATTTCATCCCAGTTGATTAATGTCTCAAATTTATTATCTTCATTTCATTTCACTAAATATTATCATTTTGCATAAAAATAAAATTATAAATTAAAATAAGACATGACTTAAAGTTTTAGTTACCAGGTCATAAAATTCCTAAAAAAATCCTTTTTGGCGGGAATGCGTGTAGTTAAGTTGTGTGATTTATTTTGTCTATTTAGCGTTTCTTCAGGTTTTAATATGTAATAACGGTGGTTTATTAACTGTTTAATATCTGTGAAAGTGCACAAATATTGGAAAATGAAACAAAGCCGCTGGACGTAATTTCCCGGGATCCTCCAAAAGTCCACTGAAAAAAACTCAGTAAATGACCACCATTTTACTGAGATTATATTTCATCCCATATAATTTCATTTCATTTCATCCCACCTGATTAATGTCTCAAATTAATCATGTTCATTTCATTTCACTTCGTAATTTCATTTTTCTCAAACTTCGATTGTTGATCGAAGTTCTCAAAAATAAGACTTAAATTAAAATAAGATTTACCAGGTCATAAAATCTCTTAAAAAAAAGAAATGAAAGGATTCAATTTTTATCTGGACGTAACTTCTCGGGATCCTCCAAAAAGTTCACTGAAAAATGACCACCATTTTACTGAGATTATATTTCATCCCATTTCATTTCATGCCATGTCATATTAATCAACTTCATTTCATTATTTCATAGTATCACATTTCATAAAAAAAAAAATATATATATATAACATTAGGCTGTATGGTATGATACCGTTGCCTATCCATTTGGAAAAATAAAACTACTACTCAATTTTTGTAAAATTTGTAAATAAGGTGCATTGTATGTATTGTATTACATGATCTGATCTACGTTGTTATTTATGAATTGAAATGCGACTATAAACATTGAATAAAATGGAAGTCTCTCAAGAAAATAGGGTTGAAAAAGAACATGAAGGTTCTATCAGTGAATTGTATTCAACACCAAAAACACCAATCAAAGCTCAAAATTGTAGTAAAGAAGATGCAGGAGTTTCAGGAACAAACTTAAGTTCACAAGTTGTTAATGGGGATGTTGCATTAACTCCTACTAATAGTTCATTCACTCCTCAGCCACTTAATCCACACAATTCTATGACTGCTTTAACACCTATGCCAAGTGCATCCACTCAAGCAAAAAGCAGTATCAAGCTACAGTAAGTGATTTGATTTAGCAGCAAATATTATTAACATAGACCTGAGATATATTCCTATTTTATATCTTCATTAGTTATCCTGTGCAGCTTTGCCTGCTTGAACTAGTCAGGTAGAATCTAGTGTGATAGTAACTTCTTGCTCTTCAACAACTCTCGACACCTTTGGCCATGCCAAATTCCCTTTAGCCAAGGGTAATGAAGTGAGTCCCATATCAGTTGCAATAACATTAATGTGATGAGATGTGCACAAAAAGACAGAGCTCTGCTAATCCACTTGGTCCTGTTGGTTACTACCAGTCCTAATAGTAGCCAAAAAACAGATCACCATACTCATTGAAAACTTCAAAGTGAAACATAACATGAATCCACTAAGTTTCTTGACCAATGTCTCTGAGCCAAGCACGATCTTTCCCTTATCAAGAAATTTTATAGAATTGAAGACAACAATCCTATTCTTTGCCTTATACCTTTAGGATTTAAATTTATTTATGTTGTACATTGAATTGGAAAACAGATTTGCTTTATTTGCTTACCTGAAGTTGTTACAGTAGTAAGCATATGATTAGCTAATCAGATTGGGAATTAGTGGGATACTTAAGTTAGTGAATAAAATAAGTTTAGCTATAATACCTATAGAAAACATATTTTTTGTATATTACTGCAGGTACAAGTTTATGACCCACCTGGTGTAAAATATATACTTGAGCTAAAAATATATGATAATGTGAATGCCACATCACCTACCTTGAGAGGTCAAAGTCCCAATTGTATTTTACAACAGCTGATCGACACTTCTGGAACTGGAACGTAAGACAGTAGGTGGATTGATTTTATAGGCAAACATATAATATACCCTACCACCAGTAAATGCAGCATTATAATACTCTGAGTACACTGCTGCCTATTCTATGAGATATCCCTTAGTCACCTTAGACACCCATGTGAAATTATAAAATTACAAATGTACGTATTGCAGCCACTTTTATTATTGAATGGTGTATAAGCCGATAAAGGTTTTTCATTAAATTTGAAGATTAAGAGTTATAAAAAATTCTCTTGGAATCTTCAAATGATCCATCAATTTAATAAGTAGAAAATTGCAAATAGCTTAAGGTGGACTGATGACCTTTTTAAAGTATTTAATATCACATAAACCTATGGACACGTACCACACAGGACCAGTCATTATGTCAAACTTTAGGAGAGGCTCATGTTTAGGCTAATGATTCTCATCCTTTTGTAATAATCTCTTAATGACTAATACTGAGATAATAAGACTAATAAGATATTATTAATGATTACAAATGACTAGCCAGCTGACCTACCATTTCGTTCTTTACCTTCTAAAATCCTCTCACCTGAAATAGAATGTGATAAATGTTAAAATTAAGTAAAACATTTTTCCAGAAATTGTGTTGCCACAGTCAGTTTAGGATGTGAACTAAAATTATTAGATATTTACTGCAGAACAAGATACTCTGAATATAATCCTGCAAGATTTCAAGGTGTTGTCATGAAAATATTAGATCCTCGAGCTACCGCCTTAGTATTCAGGTTTGTTTTAATGCACGTTTGCAGCTTTATTGTTTGCTTTTATTATAAATGAATATAGATTGTAATTTTACCTGATTTATGATTGGGCTGAATTAAACATAAAAAAAATCAATATTAATTGAAGTAAAAATATTTATGAAAAATAAAAAAGTCCATTTCAGTAATGTGTATGAATGAAATAATGTTATTTTATTTATCCCGTTCCATGATGAAAACTCGACTTCGATTGTCATACGACATAGTTACTTAAATAAGATTTGACATGACACTGGGGAGAGGTTATGATCCCTGGGCCGTGCTTTCGTTGATGTAGCGTGCCATATACGCGACATTGCTATAGTCCCCGGCACGTAAATTGGCAAGAGTCGCTAGATGCGCAGAAGTCGTTTTTTAGGTCTCTTTGGTTGTCAAGCGGGACGCGGGGAAAGACGTAGCACCGTTCCGAGCGCGCGATTGGTGCGTCAGTCGACCCTCCCCTCCCGCACCGTGTCCACTGTTCCGTTCGCTCCCGATTACACATGCGCTTACTAAAGTTGTAGGAACCCTTTGTTTATATTGAGTTTTTAGTTACGAGTTGTTATTATTGTTTTAAATTTAGTTTTTGTTACGAGTGTTATTGTTTTAAGTTTGTTTGCAATGCCAGGACCAAATACCAATTACCATATAGTTGATTCAGTCACTGAGCGTTTTATTATTTACGCCAGTGACGACAGCGACTCTTCGTTATGTCGACGATGAGGAGCCAACTCCTTCCACCAGCTCAGGTGCTACCATAAATTTAATCCAAGGGGTAGCACTATTAGAAAATGATAGTGACGACGGCGACACATCATTTTTAATAATAAGTATATTTTTTTAAGTAAACTTCTTCTTAACTTTTAATTATATTTTATTTATAACATCTAATACACTTCACGAATTCCTCTCTTTTCTTTAAATTTCTTCTAAACACACAGGCTTAAAAATAAATTAAGGCAAATAAAAAAATTAATAAATTAAATTAAATAATATGCGGGCAATAAAAGTGACCATTTTTTTGTTGCAATGTGCACTATGCGCGACATTACCTCCACTACACCAAAACCTTGCCAACTTACGTGCCGCTTAATAAAACGATTAAATTGCAATGAATATAAAATTATACTAAACAAAAAAATTAAAAATGATTTTTTGCCCTTGTAGGCAGACTAGTCTACCCAGATGGTAAGTTGTCACCGAAGCATAGGGACGTCAACAATATCAGATGCAGTACCAAGCCGTTGCCTACTNGACATTACCTCCACTACACCAAAACCTTGCCAACTTACGTGCCGCTTAATAAAACGATTAAATTGCAATGAATATAAAATTATACTAAACAAAAAAATTAAAAATGATTTTTTGCCCTTGTAGGCAGACTAGTCTACCCAGATGGTAAGTTGTCACCGAAGCATAGGGACGTCAACAATATCAGATGCAGTACCAAGCCGTTGCCTACTACGTTTAAATATTTAGTAAATGTCCATGTTTAAAGTAAAGTAAAAGCTGCATTAACAACTACAGACGACGCAACGAATCATTTGGAATGCTATTTAAGTTTGTTCGGCTTAACTTCATAAGAATCTTATCAGGATATAACTGTACCGATGCTTTGTTACTTTATGACATAGGTATAGAAATTTTGCTATTGCTAAATGCTATATTAATTTAAAGAAACGAAATGAAGAGACTCCTGTGTGCTTAGTGGGATTTTTTTAACTTCTCAATCGCGTAAAAGTTAGTTCAAATTTATATGGAGTTGGAATAGCGCCCCTAGCGACAAACATAGTTGAGTAGTAAACCTATTTACTGCTGTCATAAATGTGCTTTGTTGCAGGAAAATTTATTTATTGCTATCATAAAATATGCCTGGTTGCAGGAAAATTTGTTTATTTCTGTCGTCAAATGTGTCTTGTTGAACGAACATTAAATGTATAACATAACACAAATTTTATTTTCTGCTGTCCTAAATCTATAAACAGACAAATAATAGAACGTTTTCTGAGGTCTTGGAGAAAATGGTGCAATGCCATATGGTTCATAGCGTGGGTGAACTGCTATAGAAAACTGCGTTAACCGCACTAATTGTTTGAAGTGCCACTACGATTTCAATGGATATCTTTAAGAAAACATCATGCTCATGACATCGTAACGTCATACCGGCCATCTTGAGACTTGGATCAACGTTAAAATTGCATTTCAAAAATAGCTACCCATAAACTGAAACATTATTGCTTTGTGACAAAAATAAGCAAGCAGTTTTAATACGATTTTTTATTTTATTTCATAGATCTGGGAAAATAGTTTGTACTGGGACAAGAAATGAACATGATTCATATGTAGCTGCAAGAAAAATTGCAAGGATTATACAAAAACTCGGATTCCCAGTAAGTTTTACGTACAATAACCCAACCCAACTAAACCCAATAGAAATCATTACTTGCTTGCTACACATTACAACTTAAATAAAATGTAATCAAATTTTAAAGATGATTAAAATTTTTGTTGACACGTTAGCGTGTGGTCAATCTAAAATGATTCATCTATATCACATAGTAAGTTACTGCCCTTATATTATGTTACAGGCAAAATTTTTGAATTTCAAAATACAAAATTTTATTGCTACTGCTGACCTTAGATTTCCAATAAAATTAGAAGCTTTACAGCAGGCACATGGTCAATTCTCCAGTTATGAACCAGAATTATTCCCAGGACTTGTTTACAGAATGGTGAGACCGAGAGTTGTCTTGCTTATTTTTGTTAACGGAAAAATGGTAATTACAGGTAATCATATGTTTAATATACTTATGCACAATGTTTAATATTTTACGCTACGAATAAATAATAAGTCAGGAAATGTAACTGCGCTCTAAAAACGACCCAACAAAAGCAAGCAGGCGGGGCTTAAAGGTCGTGTCCACCGTGACCATTCTTATTTCGATTTATTATTGTGTTGTCAATATTCATGCCAGCGTGTGCTGTGAAGTTGTGCAGGAGCCATACAAGGCTAAAATGTCCAGGGATCACTTTTAACTAGTAAGTAGTAACAAAATTATAATTATATTTAATGATTTGCAAATATGTTATCAAACCGAGATGGTTAACACTATGCAACATGAAGTCAGTAAATTTTTGATTGTATTTGTTTTCTTCTTGGTGAAATATTAAAAAGTACATCGATAAAATATTTTTTATTATAAAATAGGTATATTTATTTTGATAATTTTATAACGATAATGGACTTTGCATAATTTTTTTTCTTTTAGTTTTCCTACCGGCAAAATGCAATTCGGCAAAAAAGTGAATAGCTGCAGTTAAGTTGGAAGGACAAGAATATGACTGGATGCCTGTGAAAACCAGCAGAGTATGCTCTATTCATGCTATCAAAGACGCTGGACGCTAGCCTTCAATTGCCAGAAACAGTGGAGCAAATTTTAGGCTATATAGCCGGCTTTGTAAGCCGAAAACTGCAAGCGAAAATCAACTGTCCAGAATGCTTATCATTGCTACCTGCTAATCAAAATTTGTATTTTCACAATCTGATTAATTTGAAAGATTTCGGTGGACTCTCGTACCCATCTGTGGTGTTGTATAAAATATGCACACGCACAGAAACACTAATAAGACAGATAATGAAATACATGACAAAGGAAAATCTGTCAGTAATATCTACACAGTGTTTTTCTAAAATAATTGACAATGAAGATATTCTACGCTTACTAAAAAACAGTCACCAGACAAATAATGACCATTTCTTTTTTTTTTATAAATTGTGTAATGGTTGAATTTCTCAGAACCCGTTTTTTTTATTGCCTTTCTAGGCAGACGAGCATACGGCCCACCTGATGGTGAGTGGTTACCGTCGCTCATGGACGTCAGCAATGCCAGGAGCAGAACCAAGCCGCTGCCGTCTTCCCTACATTGCGAAAAAATATTCTTTTTTAATGTTTTCTAGGCAAAAACTTACTAAATTAATTATATTTCGAGGGACATAGAGCTTATTACAAAAAAATATATACATTATACAATTATATTGTTTTATTATTAACTTTGTCCGGTCCACTTATTACATAATATCGTCTACGCTGCTATGACTGCTGTCATAGCTGACATTGCAGCAAGCACATGAACCAATCCCTGCTTTCGTTTTGAATTCAAACCAATCACAAATAATGTCTATTTCTAACCTCGTTTGTGATTGGTTTTTTATTCCTACGTCGTTTTGGTTTCAAGTGGGGCCACTTTTTTTTGTGAAATTTGTTCCGAGTTAGACTTTCTGACTTATTATTTATTCGTAGACTTTACGTTATTATTTGTATATTATTATTTCTGTATAAATATTCTAAATTATAATTATTTGTTGATATAGGTACAATAGCCCTCAAAATCATTTTGACAAACATTAATTCAGTCAATTAGAAACAAACAAATAACTTATACATCATTGGATTACATTGAAGTAATGCTCTACAAAATATTACATTTGAGTTCTATCCATCGGAATTTTATGCCACTCACATTTTTGTCATTGTTAGAGTTAAGTTTAATTCTTATTTTGCGATCCAACTAGTCCCAGAGATGTATAGGTAAGGATCGAAATCTCTGTTTGTGAGTTTTTTAACTTCTCCATCGGGTAAAAGTTAAATCAAACTTGCATGAAGTTGGAACAGCGCCCCTAGTGGCAAATTCAATTTGGCTACGTTAAAATATTTAAATTTTCCCGTTTTAAAAAATCACTATGAAATTGAACTTGTATTTAGGATCATTATCTTGCTGAAAATACCATACAGCTAGCTTATGGTGTTTGTTGTCTTTTCCCCTACCTAATCGCTGATAGCCTATGAAGCTATTCCAGCTTCGCGTTGATAGGTAGGTGAGCTCACGGGCTCAACGGACTTATTGCATCCTGACATTTCAGTCTTTAATACCTACTATTTGGTAAATGAACTGATTCATATTTCCTTCAGTTCGAACTAGCGGTCCAACTCCAGACCGTGAACAACATCGCCAAACCACTACACTACCACCTCCTTTTTTGACAGTGGGAATTTAGTACCATAATTTAAATTTTTTAATTTACAAAATGGAGAATATTGATTGATATACTAGTTGATCTCTAAGATGGTAATTAAATTTTATTAAAATTAATGAAATTAGTGCTCGTAACTCTACAACATGTTGGACCAGTCTAAATTTTGCGACTCTAGTCGGGCTTTCCTATTTTTCGTAGATACCAAAAGAGTTTTCGTCGGTCTTTGTTCATGTTTTCCGAAGAGTTTTAAGTAGAGAAATATCAGTAGAAATTAAAACGAATAATGTTATGCTCGCTAAAAGTGAGATTAGTCCTTCGATTAGACTTCATACTAAAGAAGGGCCATTCGATTCGAATATGTTCGGCGTATTGATAATCCTGTTCTGACGGATCGCTTGGAACCTCTGGGCCTACGGAGGGAGATTCTCTCTATATTTTGTACAGTATGTTCCATTGAAAGAGATCAGAAGAATTTTTTGAGATGAACCTGTCATCACTTTTATATCAACGGACCGCGTACCATAAAAAACATAGTTCATCCATAGTACATAGAATTACTGCGTTCATTCGTAGTGCGTTTGCAAAGATCTTTTTTGCCACGTATCATCCGACTTTGGAATGAACTTCCCCCTACGGTATTTCCCGAATACTATGAAATGTTCTTGTTCAAACGAGGTTTCAGAAAATGAATTCTTCGGTAAGCAGCGGCTTACCCTCTGGTATTGTTGACTTCCACGAGCGACGGTAACCACTTACCACCGGGCCGTATGTTTCTCTGCTTACGGTGGCAATAAAAAAAACATTTTAAATAATGGCGTTTAACTGCTTAAACACACTACACAAATATTAGTATTTACAAACTTATTACACGATTAAATTAATATTTAAATTTGCGAATGAATATTTTTATCTTTTATTTTATTTTTATTGCTTAGATGGGTGGACGAGCTCACAGCCCACCCGGTGTGAAGTTGTTACTGGAGTCCATAGACATCTACAACGTAAATGCGCCACCCACCTTGAGATATAAGTTCTAAGGTCTCAATTATAGTTACAACGGCTGCCCCAACCTTCAAACCGAAACGCATTACTGCTTTATGGCAGAAATAGGCGGAGTGGGGGTACCTACCCGTACGGTCACAAGAGGACCTACCACCAATAATTACACAAATTATAATTTTGCGGGTTTGATTTTTATTACACGATATTATTCCTTTACCGTGGAAGTCAATCATGAATGTTCGATAACTACGTATTTCATTAGAAAAATTGGTACCCGCCTGCGGGATTCGAAGACCGTTGCATCGCTCGATACGAATGCACCGGACCTCTTATCCTTTAGGCCACGACGACTATCTTCGGGAACAGTTCGAAATTCCTTGTATAAATCGAACTTTTATATTACTAATGTAAAGATATATAACAATATTATGTACCTATTTTTTTCAGGTGGAAAATCAAGAACGGAAATTAGTGAAGCTGTAGATGTCATATATCCTATTTTAAGAAGTTACCGAATTAGTTAACTCATCTACGACGTAAAATATGTAACAATTTCATTTCTTGAATTGTTTTTTAAAATATCAAATTTTTTTTTAATAATCGGTAGGGCTTTTTTCCGATTACCCACATGAATTACTAAATTACTCTTTGCCGTCAATCGCGATGTCAATCCGTTTAGCAACGATCTTTCAGTGGACAAGGTAAGAGACAGACATCTGTTACCTAGATTTTTTAACAAAGAGATTGCCGTCAGCTTTTGTTCCATAAGCGACCTACCAATGCTTTTTTTTCTTGCACGTCGAACTCTGCGGAGCCCGACGGGTACGGTTACCGGGGTCCCTAAGCCTGCTCCTAGTATTAGAGCTAAATGCGTCTAATGCAAGGGTTATTGGATCTGTTGGATCCAACCGACGGACGGCTAACCTGTAAACACGAGATTGTAGGGATTGGAGGGTGTCTATGTGTGTGCGGGCTGCGTGAGCGAAACCCCATACTGACGGAGTTTAAATGTCTATGCTCCATTGTTCACGCCACAAATATTATTACAACCTTGTGGTGTTCCATTGCAAAGAAAAGGCTTCCTTCTTTCTTCTTTTAGTCACTAAATCGAGACCTTAAAGTTTAGTGTCTCGATTTTATGAAAGAGTAGTCGGTCGCTCAGGAAGTTCGGTTACATTGTAAGCATTGTATTTTATGGCTCACTAGCAAATTCTAGACCCCACATTTCTTAAGCACTTTTTCGTGGTGGAAAGTCTACACTTATGTTCATAAAAAAACTTCAATAATAAACATAAAATTCATAAGAATAAGAATATGTTCAACCAATGTAGTCTATATGTTCCCCTATAAACACTTACGGAATTTGAGTGGGGAGATGGTCGGCTCATCTGCTCAAATAATAAAAGCCCATTTTCTACCAATTAGATACTCTACGAAACTATTATAACACAACACAGACATACATTTAAACAAATAAATGAAAAATGTGTTTAGTTTTGAATTATTTATTTACTTGTGTATTTCAATTTAAGTATCTAATGAAAATATATAATAATTGTAGATTTGTTTTAATAAGTACATGATATTTAACGATTAAATTATATATGATTATTTAAAATGCATGTTGTGATTTTCATTGAATTGTTTATTTTGAAACCTCTATAATTTACGATCCACAACTTAAACATTCATCTTTATTCCGTAACGAACAAGTTATTGCTGCCATGTTTGCCTCATCTATTTCAGATTTACTATTATTCATTTTAGTTTTAACTTTGGATTTATCCACAGTAAATTGTATGGCATTGGCTGCCGGTTTTGTTCGCAAATAATACATCCCTGTTTTTAAACCCATTTTCCATGAATAGAAATGAATAGAAGTTAATTTTCCGTAGTTCGGTTCAGCAACGTGTATATTAAAAGATTGACTTTGATCAATAAAAGCTCCACGATCAGCAGCCATTTGTATTGTTGTTTTGACTGAAATTTCCCAAACTGTCTTATATAAGTCCCTTATTTCTGTAGGTATACTTTCGATATTTTGTATAGATCCATTATTGTGTATAATGAGATTTTTCATTTCCTCATCCCATAAATCTGCTTCTGTCAAATCACGAAGTAAATGATGATTTACAACTTGAAATTCTCCAGATAAAACACGTCTTTGATAAATATTAGAAGTGAAGGGCTCAAAAGATTCATTATTTCCTAAAATCTGAGCTGTTGAGGCAGTGGGCATTGGGGCTACCAAAAGAGAATTACGAAGACCATGCTTGGCAATGTTTTCTTTTAAAGCAGTCCAGTCCCATAAATCTGTTGGATTTTTATTCCACATTTCGTACTGTAATATGCCTCGACTTGCAGGGCATCCTTCGTATGTTTCATACACTCCATACTTTTCTGCTAGTTCACAACTTGCCTCTAGTGCTCCATAGTAAATAGTTTCAAATATTTGTTGATTTAATTTAATAGCTTCTGGACTTTCGTAAGGTAAACGCATTAAAATAAAAGCATCAGCAAGACCTTGAACACCTATTCCAATAGGTCTATGTCTAAGATTAGATTTTTTTGCTTCCGGAACAGGGTAATAATTTACATCAATGATTTTATTCAAATTTTCTGTTATAGTTTTAGTAACTTCTTTTAATTTCGTAAAGTTATATGTTTTGTTATCATCAACAAACATATTTAGCGCTATAGAGGCTAAGTTGCATACTGCCACTTCATCATCAGATGTATATTCAACTATTTCAGTGCACAGGTTACTACATTTTATGGTACCTAAATTTTTCTGATTACTTTTTCTATTACATGAATCTTTAAATAACATGTATGGAGTACCAGTCTCTACTTGAGCTTCTATTATTGCTTTCCAAAGAACTTGTGCCCTTACTTGTTTTACAAATCTATTTTCTTTTTCATATGTTTCATATAAGGATTCAAATTCTTTTCCCCAACAGTCAGCTAACCCTGGGCAATCATGAGGACACATAAGGGTCCATACGCCATCATTTTCAACTCTTTTCATGAAAAGATCAGGTATCCACAATGCATAAAAAAGTTCCCTGGCACGTACTTCTTCTTTTCCAGTGTTTTTCTTTAAATCTAAGAATTCAAATATATCGGCATGCCACGGTTCCAAATAGACTGCAAAAGCTCCAGGGCGCTTATTACCTCCTTGATCAACATATCTAGCTGTATTATTGTAAACTCGTAACATTGGTACAAGACCATTTGATACACCATTTGTTCCTGCTATATAAGTACCTTTAGCCCTTATACAGTGGACATGGACACCAATTCCACCTGCAGATTTAGATATCAAAGCACACTGCTTTAAGGTATCGTAAATTCCTTCAATGCTGTCATCTTTCATTGCCACTAGAAAACATGATGATAGTTGGGGGCGTGGAGTTGCAGCTGAGAATAAGGTTGGGCTGGCATGAGTGAAATATTTCTCAGAAAGTAAGTTGTATGTATTTATGGCTGCATCAATATCTTCACCATGAATTCCAATTGACACTCGCATCAGCATATGTTGAGGTCGTTCAGCAACCTGCCAATTAGTAAATTTTGAGTAACTTTTCTAATACCAGTATTCCAAATGAGAATCAGGATAAATAGTATAATTAGTAACTTGGCCCTAAAATATAATTATTATATTATTACTACCACAGAAGCATATTGGGGAAGTAGTGGGACATTAGTAGTAGATGCGAAGTACTGCTGTATTGAATAAACAGACAGTGTAACATATAACTTGTTTAAATTTTTGGGAAAAATAATTTTAAATTAACATTTATTTAATTGCATTACGTATTACATTATATCATATTGCTTTAATTACTTTACAACTGACTTTTCTCGCATTAATGTTGAAATAATATCTCACGTGATTATTTTATTTCTAGATGAGCTACTGAGAAAAATATGCCTTCACCCTGGCTAACAATGCAAAGTAGGATGATTAAGAAAGGAAAGCATAAAAAACAAAAAATGTGTTACAGTTTGAAGAGTGGGATAGATGTTACATTATAATAGAAACCTGACTTAACACTAGTGAATTTTCATAAAATAAGGATAGATGCATCATAATTAAGTTTGTCTTTATAACTACATGATAAAAGGCTAGCTCTGCTATGCCAGTTTTTTCAGTGTTATTAAGAATTTGACCTCATACCTCACGGTGAACAGTCAAAACCGTATTTTGATCAAAAATCACTAAAATAGATTTCCATGGACACAATCTACAAATTTATTGTTACATTACCTTATTGTTTATTTTCAATAAATATGAGCGCTCTAAAGTTTTAAACCCAAAATAATTATATTTGAAGTCTCTGTCATACACAATAGCAGAATCTAATCTTTCTTTATGGTTCATAACTATATTATAATGAAATTCAGATATCATTGGTGCCCTCTTCTTAGTGTGTGGATTAACAATGTCAAACAAATCTTTCATAACATCTGAAACAAAAAATAATAATTAATAATTTGGTACTAAATACTTCTTTTCATTCATGTAATTATATAACTATAGTGTTACCTGAAAAGTGTTTTTTTGTTTCTTTATGTAAGTTTGATATTGCAAGCCTGGCTGCAAGAACAGCATAATCTGGATGATCGGTAGTCATTGTAGCAGCTGTCTCTGCAGCAAGATTATCCAGTTCCACAGTTGTCACTCCCGAGTANATAATTAATAATTTGGTACTAAATACTTCTTTTCATTCATGTAATTATATAACTATAGTGTTACCTGAAAAGTGTTTTTTTGTTTCTTTATGTAAGTTTGATATTGCAAGCCTGGCTGCAAGAACAGCATAATCTGGATGATCGGTAGTCATTGTAGCAGCTGTCTCTGCAGCAAGATTATCCAGTTCCACAGTTGTCACTCCCGAGTACATTCCATTGATAACTTTTAGTGTTATACACACCTATTCAAATGAAACAAACACTTGGAATGGACAAATTTTGTGAGATACAAACGAAGCTAGTAAAAGTGTGTAACAGGAAAAATCGGCTTTTGTTATTTTTTTTATTATTGATTAATATTGCATTTTTAATACTATGAAATGTTCTGTTGCATTGATCATTTATTTAAAGGCTTTGACTGCCTTGATTATGGTGTTAAGTGTGAGTTGTTGCTACAAATAAACTAATATGAGACAATGAGAGATCTAATGGTTACTAAACATCTACAAACATGTTGCCCAATCATTAGACAGAACAGACTGAGATTTGCAGGACAGAGATGAAAACAGATGATCAGTTCATTGTCATCAGCATTCTTAGAAACTAGATCTTATATTACAAGGTTAGAATCAACCACCAAGAGGTTCTACAGTTCTACAGCAAAATATCTGAGAAGCAGACAGAACTCAACTGAAATAAATTCCCATTTGCCACATGCTATTGTTATTTGAGTGAATGATAATGATTAAATCAGTCCACATTTGAAGTAATTGAAGAATTAAAGTGTATAAATTTCCAAAATAGAGGTACAGTGCATTGAAAAAGAGATGTAAAGTAATGGGTAGTTATTTTATGGGGAGATATTTGTATGGAGGTATATTTGGAACTTGGCATCTTAGAGAGTTCAGAAACAGCAGCATTAAGATTTGGAAGAAAGATAGTTGTGTGTTCCCTGGGTGTGCACCGGTAGTTACCACTACCCTACCATTTGCTATGCTATATGCGGGTTTGAAAGGTAAGGCTGGTTTATGTTTATGATGTCTTTATATTAGTAGTAAGACGGGCCTCATAGTTGTGTCCATTTGAGCCTCAGAACATATTTTTGTAAATTTGGAGTTATTGTGGTTGAAAGGAAATTTAAGTAAGATTAGTTAAGTCTTCTTGTTAAACATACCGGATCAACAAAATCCATATTTAATCCATAACATAGTTTTTTAATTCTTGATGTTATCTTGTCTATATGCACCTCCTCCATTCTTCCGCCTAAAATGAGCATAAAATATTATGTTCACCTACAAGTGTCAATTTTTTGAAGAAAATATGTTTTACTTAGCACTCATTAACAAAAAGAAAATTAATGAAAGACTACCATTATGCTTTAAAAATTAATTGATTAATTACTGATGGACAGAGAATACAGCGGTAGTAGTATCACCCTGTCCATTTCTGCAGTAAAACAGTCACATCTTCCAGCTTTTAAGGTGGGATAGTCCTTATAATATATAACTTTGACTAAGATCTCATGTCTCAAGCAAACATTTAAGCCTGCAGGCTTGTCATCAACATAAATAATTATATAAAATGTAAATATCCAAACCTATAAATTAGATAAAGACAGTGATGGGATCTTCTATTACCAATAATAACCATCTATCCCACAAAGCATATCCATCTGGAGGCAGGTGGTTATTATATTTCATGGATCTTGGTAACGCTCAATAACCCAACACTTTCTTTAAGGTTCATTTTCACCTTCATCACACCTTCATAGCACTCAGAACAATTTGATTTCTTCAAATAAAGGTAAGTAAATGTTTGCTTCACAGTAGAAATTAGCAAGATGGTTCTACCTACGCCGTGAGTCTAAATTTTTTTTTTACTTTTGGCAGATTGCATTCTTAAATCTCTACTTATCATCCAGTGTCACACTTAAGAAATGCACGCCATATTCAGATCTGAACAATGTTTTAATAAGTTCGTCAGTCAGTGCTGGTAATTGAAGTTCTTACATCGATTACACACACGTACGATCAACGGAGTTGCTTTGAGTGTTGTGCAAAGTTTCAACATCACATCAGTTTACAGAGTCGGCCGTTATTAAGGTGTTCCAGTTTAATTCCTTTGGATCACATTGTAATTTATATTATAAGCGGAACGGCGGTAAGGCAGGGTCTAGTAATATATGTATTCTTACCTCTCTTTAAAACGTACAATTTATTCATTTTACCAACCATTTTAGTATTTTACAATTCTCGACGGAAAACAAAATAAATGCTATTTAATCTAGACAAACTTATAAACTTGAAATGTATCTTGATTTTGATAACACACTCATTAAATTAAAACTATTACTGTTCTTTACTCTCTCAATATATCGTCAGCAACAAGTGAGGAACAACTGACTCTGACGTTAAACTTGAAATAGGCGGGAAACACCGCAGTAGAACCGCTACTTTTATTTTTCTACTGGAAAGGCGAAAGTATCATCCCATACAGCTTAATTTTTTTTAAATTTAATTATTTAATTTTTATTTATTTTTTATTTTTAATAATTATTATTATATTATAATACTTTGTATTGATTGTATGTATATTTACGGAGATATGTATGTGTATATGTATGTGTACATATATGTATATGTATTTCACTGGAATGGTACACCGCGCGTAGTTCGTTTCCAAATGATTCTTGTCCACCTGATGGTTGTCTGGAAGAGATCGCTCTTAGCGATAAGACCGCCAATTGTACTTTTTTGTTTTTAATGTATCGCACTGTGTATTTGTTTTTTGGTGTACAATAAAGAATACTCTCTCTCTCTCTCTTAATCTTTTGTATATTCAATTTCATGAAAAATGATAACCAGACTTTTGGAAGAACCCGAGAAGCTACATCCGGCAGTTTTGTTTTATTTCCTCACATTTGCGTACTTTCACAAATACCAAACAGTTAAGAAACCACCTTTATAACACATTTAAACTTGAAGAAACGTTAAATTAAATGACTATAAAACTAACATTTAATAAAGTAATAAAAATAATCTTCGGATATATATACTGACTTATGATGGTTACAAATAGTAAGAAGTTCAGTTCTAACAATAACAATTTATACAACTTCATTCCTTGAGTTCTAGCGTTCCACAATTGAAAATCCGCACGAGTCGAAATTATCTTTTGCTTTATTTGTTCCGTTCGTACATCTGATACAAAAGGTATAAAGCCATTAGTCTTGGAGTTCTTGGTTCTTGAAGTGTGATATGATTCCCGATGCATTCGTATCAAACGCTGCAACTGTGAATCCCGCAAACAGGTACGAATTTTTGTAATGAAATACGTAAGTGTGTATGTATATAAGAAGTGTTCATAATTGACTTCCACAGTGGAGGAATAACAATAAGAAATAAAAAGCAAACTCACAAAAATTAAAAGATGCATAGTTATGTGATAGGGCACCTTGTGAATGCGCACGAGTAGGTATGTACCATGACCCGGCCTATATCGGCCATGAAGCAGTAATTCGTTTCGGTTTGAAGCATGCGTCCGCCGTTGTACTGAAGAATTGAGACTTAAAACTCATATTTCATGGTGAGTGGCAGCATTTACGTTGTTGATGTCTATGGACTCCGGTAACCACTTACCACCTGGTGGGCTGTGAGATGGTCCACCCATCTAAGCAATTTTTTTTTTTTTAAGAACTTAAAACTTTCCTTTCATGTCGTTGCCATACCCGTGGATTTCAGATAGTCGTTAAGGATGACAACCCGTGTGATATCATAGCAAAGCGAGATGCGCTCCGAGTTAAATGCGCCACCCTGCATCCGTCTAACTTCGTTTGAGTACTATCTCATAAGAAAATTTAATATTCAATCAATACTCTCTAATTACGAGAACATTTTTTTTTTAATTTAACATTACATTGTAGCTTACATGTAATAATAGATTGACTTTTCCATCGATGTATTTAAACAAACAGGTTCTGGCAACAAAAAAGCGGTTACCACATCTAGGTAAAAAGGCTTCAACCTATAAGTAGTTTAAAACTATTAAATTCATGTCATAGGGCCTATGTCCTGTAGTGCACGACTGTGGGCTGAATATGATGATGACGATAATGATATTATTGTATGAGTATTTAGGAATTAGAGTAGAATATAGAATCCACTTTTCATCACATGTCACAATTCGATCCAATATTCCTTCATTTCTGTATCGATTCAACAAGGCAACACAAGTTTCAACATGCCTTTCTTTCTGCAGATCAGTCAAATCATGCGGCACCCATTTTTCATAGGAATTTTTTTATTTTATTGATTTGACGCAAATGAGTCAATATTGTTGTTAAGGTAACTAACGTTAAACCATGCCGCTAATTCCTGGGTAGTTTGGCTCGGATCGGCTTCCACTATGTATCTCTTTCAATTCATTATTATTCACACGTGTGGACGGTCTTCTACGTGGTTCGTTCTTCAAATCAAAATTTCCATCTTAAAAGCGATTAAACCAAAATCGCACGGTGCGTCCATTAGCAGTCTGTTGAAGAGCTAACGTAACCTACTTGCACGAAATTATACATACTGGCCATTAATAAGCGTTTGTTTTTAAAAACATTTCTGTCATTAATATTCTGGTGTATTGATTTTAATATGAACGTAATGTTTCATAAAATTATAATGGTTGAATGCAAATAAAACAACAATATTATCTTACATACTATTTTAATTCATATCACAGGCATCTCTCCAAACGCAACATTGACATTGCGAGCTGTTTCGGCAGCGTTAGTTCCGCGTCGGATCTTTTATTCAAAAATCATTCGAATTTTCGAAGTATCCATCTTTCTTGTCTAAGCTGAATAAAAAAAACAACTGAAAGTCTTTAACCGAATCTTGCACTTTTTTTAAAAGAAGAACCTCATAGGTACCATACCATTTGTAAAAAGTTTTTGTTGGACGGTTAAATAGAAATTCCAACAGTTTTACTCAAAAATCTCAAACCATGAAGGCTCTTTGTTAATTCGAAGTACCTATTACAACAAAAAGGCAATTTCATATTTTAACCCTTATTACAAAAGCCTAGGTTCCCGTTGCCAGTCCAATCGTGAAATAAAATAAATAACAAAGCATAGATAATACATTTTTTTTTTTAAGAGATTTTATGACCTGGTAACTAAGACCTTTAAGTCATGTCTTATTTTACTTTATATTCTTAATTTTATGAAAAATGATAATATGGAGTGAAATGAAATGAAGATGATTAATTTGAGACATTAATCAACTGGGATGAAATTTAATGAAATGAGATGATATGGGATGAAATATAATCGCAGTAAAATGGTGGTCATTTACTGAGATTTTTTCAGTGGACTTTTTGGAGGAACCCGAGAAGTTACGTCCAGCAGCTTTGTTTCATTTTCCCACATTTGTGCACTTTCACAGATATTAAACAGTTAATAAACCACCGTTATTACACATTTAAACCTGAAGAAACACTAAATAGACAAAATAAAACAAATCACACAACTTCACTGCTCGCGTTCCCGCCAAAAAGTCCCATAGATAATAAATTTTTTTTTAAGAGATTTTATGACCTGGTAACTAAGACCTTTAAGTCATGTCTTATTTTACTTTATATTCTTAATTTTATGAAAAATGATAATATGGAGTGAAATGAAATGAAGATGATTAATTTGAAACATTAATCAACTGGGATGAAATTTAATGAAATGAGATGATATGGGATGAGATATAATCGCAGTAAAATGGNGGAGTGAAATGAAATGAAGATGATTAATTTGAAACATTAATCAACTGGGATGAAATTTAATGAAATGAGATGATATGGGATGAGATATAATCGCAGTAAAATGGTGGTCATTTACTGAGATTTTTTCAGTGGACTTTTTGGAGGAACCCGAGAAGTTACGTCCAGCAGCTTTGTTTCATTTTCCCACATTTGTGCACTTTCACAGATATCAAACAGTTAATAAACCACCATTATTACACATTTAAACCTGAAGAAACACTAAATAGACAAAATAAAACAAATCACACAACTTCACTCCTCGCGTTCCCGCCAAAAAGTCCATAGATAATACATAAACATAGGTACCATAGATTATACACTTAATATATTCGAGATAGGTACACAGGGTACACTTAATTAAGTTTATGACAACAAAATACACAAAAAAACTAATAAACTTCGTAAAGATAGACAAATATAAAATTTGTTTCTTTCTATAAGTACAATAAACAAAGTTTTTTACGAAAATGTCGAGTACATCACAAAAACATAGAAACTTTGTTGCTGAGCCAATGGGTGAGAAACCAGTAACAGAATTGGCGGGCGTGGGTGAAGTTTTAGGAAAACGACTTGAAACCGGGGGCTTCGATAAGGTTACAGTATAATTTTATCTCAAAAGTGCAGCTTTTGTATGTTTCATCAATGCTCAAGTGATCCTAAATGTTTTAAAATAATCTTATCAAATTGAAAATTGATCTTTACATATATATACTGCTCGGAAAACTGTTTAATGCAATATCTTTAAGCAGGTGTTTTAAACTTGAGAATAAATTTCAGTACTATTTCATTAAGAGTTAAATTAAATCCTGCATAGATTAATTGTGATAGAAATCGTATAAAGAATGTTGTTATTAAGCAGTAATCAATTATGGAATAAAATCTTTAAAAAAAATGTTGCTTAGCTTCCTTGCCCTCCAAGATGACCAATTACATGTATACCTAGGTGTTAAAAAAAGATAAATCAAGAACAACTACAAAGCAGTAATGTTTCTGCATTAAACTAGTGTTAGTTACCCTAATGTGAAATGTATTAGTTTCGTGAAAATGCCAAGATTAATTCATTCTTACATAGTCTTCAGATTTTGGATGCAATTTTCATTAAAATTACTAGCAAGATAACAGTTTTAATACCAAAATCTATATATATAAATGAATTGCTGTTCGTTAGTCTCGCTAACTTGAGAACAGCTGGACTGATTTGGCTAATTTTGGTCTTGGAGTATTTGTGGAAGTCCAGAGAAGGTTTAAAAGGTAGATAAATATGAAAATGCTCGGAATTAAATAAAAATAAGAATGTATTTTATTCATCGATTGAGGCACTACGAATTCTGCCGGGTCAGCTAGTATATAATATAATTACATTTGTTCCCTTTTTATTTTTCTCATTTACTATATTATGTATCATAAAATAACACTTACCATTTTCAGGCCTATGTCGTCTTGGGTCAATTTTTGGTACTAAAGAAAGATAAAGAGTTATTTCAAGAATGGATGAAGGACGCCTGCAGTGCAAACTCTAAACAGTCAGCAGATTGTTATCAGTGTTTGAAGGATTGGTGTGATGAGTTTTTGTAATTTTTATCCATATAACATTTATTATATTTTATTATTGCATTGTTTGAAATAATGTACATAATGTAATTTTAAGACTACATAAGTAAAATATATGTTCTACAATAATTATTTGTATTATTTAATATTTAAAAATGTTAAAGAAATAAAGTCCCAATTAAGAGTAATTAAATATAATCTTTGCTGGAAAAACACGAAGTCTTCTGTTATTTATGACAATGACTTGAATTTATTTATAAAACAATAAATAGTAATCCAAATATTTTGCAAAAGAATCAAATATAATATGTTCTCATAATGTTTTTCAACTATTTTACTTTATTAAGCTATTTCTTAGAATGTCTACTTTTCTAAGAAGTGCGTCATTTTTATGACCTATATTTGCATAACCATATGATATCACTCACCTAATGTTTAGATGCCAATAAGCATCACAGTACTGAGTGGGTACAGTAATTTTCATTGAGTTAATCTCAATGAAAATCATTAACTTTCATTGGAATAGCAGAAATATATTCGTTCAGTGCAGAATGCATCATTACAGAATATCTTACTGCAATGTTAGAGACAGGACTAAATTATTAAGGGATCAAAATAATAAGTGCGTCAATTGTTATTTATTTTATAGCATATCTAAAAAGCTTAGACAATATATTTCAATTGTAAATAATGTAATGTTTTTTAAATTATGTAGATGTTCATAATTGCTACCTTCTTTTTGGTATTGGTTGGAATACATTCAGTATAATGTCATATGTGGTATATGTTTGTAGTAAATGGATAATAACATCACCAGTTTAGTCCATGCATCATTACATCACATTTCATCATAATATTACAATGGAATACCAAGGTCAATGGTGCAACAGTAATTAATCCATGCATCCATTACGATAATCAGAAGCGCGGCAGGGCCCCTAGGCTCTTATTAGTAGTACTGATCCATGGGCGGCCGCGCAAAGTTAAATCATTACCAAATATATTTTAATTTCATCTATCATAGTTTAGGGTAATGTTTACATCATGCATATATGTAGAAGTGGGCCTTGGATGCCATTTAAATTGGAAAAGAAATAATTGAAATTAATAATTAAGTTTTTAATAGTTATTTTTTATTAAGCCATAAACACCACAAAAAATATGAAAAAGAATATTAAAACCCCAAAAACTTTAAACATTAACGCCCTATTTCCAGTTACATTTTGGAAATATTTCAATATTTCTCTGTGGCCAGCTTCAACATTCATTTCTGCCTCATGAATGTTTGCATCAATTCTACCAATGGCTTCATCTTGTTCTTTTACCATATGAGCCAATTGTTGAAATATGCCTCCCAACTCCACAATAGTGCTTTCAATGTTATGCATAGTTTCAGCTCTCTGTTGTACATATGAGTCTGTATCATCTCTGAATGCAAATTGCTGTGCTTGTAAACTTGTAGCTTCACCCAAATCTATGCTTACTTCATCTTGTTGCAATAGAGATGGTACCTCTTTTACAACCGGTGTCACCCTTGAAAATTGTTCACGCCTGCTGTTCTGTTGCTTCAAATTTTCTGAACGAACTTCTAAGACCTGCAAACATTAATTTATAAGTTCATTACATCATAAAATTTTCTGACTTTAATTTCGTTCATAATTAAACTGCTAAACTTAAAATATGGTGAACTTTTACGAAAAAAAAGTGGAACAGTATAATATAGATCAGTAAAATTTCAAAGAACTAAACTGGGCTTTTTTTTTTTATTGCCCTTGTAGGCAGACGAGCATACGGCCCACCTGATGGTGAGTGGTTACCGTCGCCCATGGACTTCAGCAATGCCAGGGGCAGAGCCAAGCCGCTGCCTACCGTTTAATACTCTCCACAAGCTTCGTTTGAAGAGGGACATGTCATAGCGCTCGGGAAACACCGTGGAGGGGAGCTCATTCCATAGCCGGATGGTACGTGGCAAAAAAGATCTCTGGAAACGCACTGTGGATGACCGCAGTGGCTCCAGGTAGTATGGATGAACTCTACTCCGGTGGCGGGCGGTGCGATGGTAAAAACGAGATGCCGGTATCATCTCGAACAATTCCTCATAGCACTCCCCATGGAACATACGGTACAGAATACAGAGGGAACCGAAATCCCTCCGCAGACCCAGAGGCTCCAAACGATCCGTGAGAATGGGATTATCGACAATCCGAACGGCTCTCCTCTGTATGGAGTCAAATGGAAGAAGCTGGTATTTGGGAGCCCCGGCCCAGAGATGGGAGCAGTACTCCACGCGAGGCCGGACTTGTGCTTTATAAAGCAAAAGTCTTTGTCCAGGCGTGAAGTACCGCTTCGCTCTGTTGAGGACTCCCAGCATTTTGGACGCCAACTTGGCTTTGCCTTCCAAATGACTCCGAAACTGGACATCGCTCGAAATGTCGACCCCAAGTATCCCAATACTCTCGGAAGGTTGCAGGGATACTCCTTGGAATTGCGGCGCCATGACAAAGGGGTCCTTCTTCGCAGTGAACGCGCAAACTTGTGTCTTTAACGGGTTGAATTGAACCAAGTTCAATTCACCCCATTTGGAGACTCGCCCCAGAGAGTTCTCCACTTCAGACACAAGTTTTGATCGTCTCTCTTGCACCACGCTCCGAGAGAGACTCTGATGGCCGATATATCGCGCATCCCCCGTGCTGTCATCCGCATAGCAATGCATGCCATCAATAGACAGCATGTCATTGATATACAGGATGAAAAGCGTGGGGGAGAGCACCGAACCTTGTGGAACGCCAGCGTTAATGGTCATGGTATCAGAACAGTCACCGTCTACAACGACCGTGATGCTCCGCCCATCCAAAAAGCTAGCGATCCACTTGCAGAGACCCTCGGGGATTCCGTAAGATGGTAGCTTCGATAGAAGTGCCCTATGCCAGACCCTGTCGAAGGCCTTCGCGATATCAAGGCTCACAGCAAGAGCCTCGCCCTTGCTCTCCAAGGCTTCAGCCCACCTGTGAGTAAGGTATACAAGAAGATCGCCAGCTGAGCGACCGTGACGGAAACCGTACTGTCGGTCACTGATCAGCTGGCGATCCTCAAGATACTTCAGGAGTTGTGTATTTATTATTCGCTCCATCACCTTGGAAAGCAAGGAAGTTATCGCGATAGGCCTATAGCTCGACGGGTCCGACCGGTCACCCTTCTTGGAGATAGGGTGGACGTGGGCGGTCTTCCATGAAGACGGAACCCTGTTAGCGCAATAAGAGAGGCGATACAAACGCGTTAGCGCAGGTGTCAGCTCAGGGGCGCACGTTTTCAGAACCACTGCAGGGATGCCGTCTGGCCCACTCGACTTATGGACGTCCAGGAGTCGGAGTTCCCGCCTGACTGCACACTGTGTAAAGCAGATCTCCGGCAGGGAACTATCACACCAGGGGATGTTCGGTGGTGTGGCACCCCCGTCGTCCACAGTTGAGTTCGAGGCGAAGAGTTTGACCAGAAGGTCAGCCTTCTCTTTCGCGCTGTGGGCCAGAGTGTCATCGGACTTGCGCAGTGGTGGGAGACTAGACCTGCAAAAGTTTCCTTCTGCAGCTTTGGCGAGCGACCAAAAAGCACGGCTCCCGGAGGGATAGCTCTTTAATCGCTCGCCAACTCTAGCAACGTGCTCCTATATATATGCTTATAAATTTAGCTTCATATTTATGAAAGCATATCAGTTTACTTGGTATTGTTAATTCAGAAGAGCATAAACCATTTTTACAAAGTTTTAAATATCCAGGAACCAATTATATGTAGGAACAAATTACCTGTTTAAATTGATTACTCATTGAAGCAAGGCGTGACTGTAATGCGAGTACAACACTAGATGAATGACTGTGCATACTGCGACGACCTCTTGGCATTTCACCTAGTCTGGCAATTTGTTGATTTAAAGAATTTAAGTCTCCTTTAATAATATAAGTTAGTTCTTGAATTTCTGTGGGACGGTCATCAAATAATGATTTCCTCTTAGCCACTGCAACACAATTATTAAACATTTCAAGTAAATTTTCCTATAAGAACTGTAAAATAATCTGATTACAAAGGGATGTTGTTTAATTAATTTGTCATAAATTGTAAACTAAGATTAACTTAGTGGTAAATGACTGTTATCATATTCTTGATATATTCATTTTTTATATTTTATATATATTGAGGAGTGAAAGGCTGTTTGGTTTAAAAGACGTTTCGCTCAATACACTACATTTATCTCAGTAATTAACGTTTTTATTTGATATTACCATCAACAGTTCGATGTTTTCACTTGAATTTCACATGATTGGTTGAACTTCAATTAATTTTACTTCATTCATTTAGGTAGCTGAAGAAGTTATTTTGTTATTTTTTTTCACAATATTAATTTTGAATTTCATGATTTGATATACAGTAACATACATAAAATATAAATCTTGTAGGGCAATTTTTGTTTGTATTGGTATCATTACCTCTATGACCTAACTTCATTTTAGAGAACAATTTCTTTGTACCTAGTTTATAGCAAATGTAGCGTTTCTTTTACATCTTATTAAAAAAAAATGTTTATTTAACATTTTATAAAAGCAATAAATGAAAAGAATATAACACTTCATATTGGACTTATGCCTGAATCATTTAAAATACTTACACAAGGCTAACTTTTCCAATTTGGTATATGTACTAGTAATATTCTTACTAATTACTTTTGCCATACTCATGAATTGGGAGTAAGTTTCCAACACAGCAGCTTTTCTATCATCTCTTACGGTTGGTTTGTTTAAGAAACGTCCTTGGAGACTGCGTACAGTTGAAATGAATTCACTTGTTCTATCTCTTGAAGCCATAACTGGTTCAAAAACAAATTCTTCTAAAAATTTAAACACGTCCTGGTCAGATGATTTAAGAATCAATGTTGATTTGGAATTTGATGAGTTCTCGTAAGGCCGCGATTCCCCGTAATGAACACCTTTCTTATCTAATTTATTGTATGAATCCGTTTCTGTTTCCAAGAGTCTTTCTGTAACGCCTATATTTCGCCTTCGAGGAAGCATCGCATTGTAGTCTTCAGTCTTCACCTATAAAGTTTTACAGAAAAAACGTTGTCAACTTTGTTTGATAAGTAAATTACATTAAGTCAAACAGTACTGTTACACCACACATATGCTTTACTTGTTAATGATTGGGGATATTTTGTTTGAAAATGAAAACTTACAATTTACATAATTGAGGCAGTATTTCACAATTTTACATTCCAATACTTACTTAGAAAACCAATAGCGTTCAAATAATTACGTACTTTCATAGTACATTCATGTGTGTACAATATTTATCATTTCATCTCATCGATTCTTTTCAAAACTCGATGATATATCTATCTTTTAAATTATCAAGTCCCACTATTCCATTTTTTAGATAAGGTATGTAGGTACCTACCCACAATCCTTTATTTTTAATCACTCGATAGATTCCAGACACGTAGTCATAGATAATACACTTAACACGTAGGGGTAGTCATAGACTATTCTGGCTTAGTTTGTCCATTACTCACTCTGTCACTCACATGCGCACGAATACGCAAACCCGCAAGTGTAGGACGACATTTGCGAATGATTATGCAAAGTTTTCGCTGCATTCGTGGTTTTCCAAGCTGTGTCGGTTTTTTAACAGACATCAAAGCGCGCGAACCTCGAACCTTCGCGTAGTCTCCCACACATTCGCTTGCCCAGTTGCGCCGACGATTGCGAAGGTAACGCCGTTNGTCACTCACATGCGCACGAATACGCAAACCCGCAAGTGTAGGACGACATTTGCGAATGATTATGCAAAGTTTTCGCTGCATTCGTGGTTTTCCAAGCTGTGTCGGTTTTTTAACAGACATCAAAGCGCGCGAACCTCGAACCTTCGCGTAGTCTCCCACACATTCGCTTGCCCAGTTGCGCCGACGATTGCGAAGGTAACGCCGTTTTCATAGTTCGTGACGTCTACTGTGTAGCGTATCTTCATCAAAAGAAATCCCATAAAAACAGCATGGCTGTTAATCATGTCTGGGAAAGAATTCAAAAATCTTTTTCTTTTCAATGTTCTATTGACGAATTAAAAAGGAGGAGAAATTCGTGAGACATTCGTAAACAAGTGTAGGAGGAAGCGCAAACGGGTTCGCAAATTGAGTATGCGAACCCATTTGCACAGCCGCTAGGTTTGCGAATGAATGTTTGACGGCCCTTTACATGCGCGCAAACATTCGTACAATGTACGAATATTTGCGCGCATGTCAGTGGCCGGCATTAATACAATTAATTTTTTTTTTATCTCAGATCTACTTTTTTTACTCTTTGGGTTACAGTCCTGTTTCATTTTCATCTTTTTATGGATTTTAGTTTCTCTTCATGCCAACAAATTGTTGCCGTAAAAATTCTATAGAAATAAAATAATAATTTCATCTGTCATTTGAAACATATTCAACAAAATTTTCACAATACAAACATCTGGAACAGCCATTTCAATGTAATCTCAAAAAGCATATTAATTTAACTGTTGTACCACTTCGTTAGAATTGATGTGGGTATACCTAGTTGTTTGTCTTAGCAATTTTTGGCAGACTAATGACAATGTGTTTATGTTTCTATAGAGAAGGTCGATCTCTTCACTTCCAACTATTTAAATTAAATGACGAAGAAGTGACACCAACGAACATGTGTGTGTGTATCAAAAGATTATATCGTGTGATGATCAATGGGTCGTTTTTAAATTTGGGGCCAAAAGCGAGTTATTTAATTCTCATAATAACCTTAATGTTACCGTAATTATATGTTCAGTAAATTTGTTGTCATAACAGGCGCGTGGTCCTATAACTATACACCACTATTTTTAAATTAGTACAAAAAAATTAACTGGGCTCTAAGTATCTTTAACTAATCATATTATATGGTAGTTAAAAATAAAAAAAACACGAAGTCTCAGAACTGTCCATAAAAATACGTAATAATTGGTAAATGCTAAATAACTAAATCAATGACCGAAAGTACGTGCGGCAGGGTTTTAGTATCTACGGGGCGCTGCTCCATTGATAAATTCCAGGAAACTCAAGTCAACTCAACTCAACAATAACGACAAAAACCTAAACACTACTAAATTGTTAGCGGAAGTGTGCGCATGCTTTTTTTCGTTGCAACAGTTGTTTGTTTAAGTTTTCCCTGATGCGATGGCTTATCAGTTCACATCACGGGAGTATGTAGCTATGCTTCGTGGGTACTTTTTGAGTGGAGAAAATGCGAGTGCAGCTGTACGTATGTACAGGGAAGAATACCCGAACGCGAGTGCAGCTGTACGTATGTACAGGGAAGAGTACCCGAACGCCCGACAGCCAAATGTGCGAACCGTGGTAAATGCTTACCAGCATTTGCTTGATCACGGTTCATTCCACGCACCGTCACATAGTCAAGAACGAGGAAGACTGGCGTTGTGACAAAATCTGTACGACGATGTACTAGCGTATTTTGAAGAGGATCCCCGACGGAGTACAAATGACACTGCTCGACGGTTTAACAACAGCCAGTCCTGTGCCTGGAAGATTGTTAATAAGGCCGGATTATATCCATATCACTACAGGAAATCTCAGGAATTAACCACCGTTGATTATGTAGCGAGGATTTCATTTTGCATCAGGATACTGAACAATACCGAAGCAAATGTATTATTTTCTGCATTGGGCCTGTAGCTTGGCCTCCACGCTCACCTGACCTCACGCCCATGGACTTCTTTTGTGGAGTGAAATTAAGAGATGTGTGTACAGAAGCGAGCCGGTTAGGCTCGCACAATTAAAACAGCGCATATTGGACGCTTTTGACGAAGTGAAAAGACATAGAAGCGCACTTCTCTCGTTAAAAACGAGTTAATGAAACTTGCCCGTCAATGTATTGACAATGGTGGTGGACATGTCGAAGGACAATTGAATATACAAGTATTCATGATGAGATGATATGGGATGAAATATAATCTCAGTAAAATGGTGGTTATTTACTGAAATTTTTTTAGTGGACTTTTTGGAGGATCCCGATAAGTTACGTCCAGCGGCTTTGTTTCATTTTACCACATTTGTGCACTTTCACAGATATTAAACAGTTAATAAACCACCGTTATTACACATTTAAACCTGAAGAAACACTAAATAGACAAAATAAAACAAATCACACAACTTCACTCCTCACGTTCCCCCCAAAAAGTCGCTGTCATTTTTTTTTTCTTTTTTTAGGTATTTTATGACCTGGTAGCTAAGACTTTTAAGTCATGTCTTATTTTAATTTATACTCTTATTTTTATGAAAAATTATGAAATGAAATGAAGATGATTAATTTGAGACATTAATCAACTGGGATGAAATCAAATGAAATGAAATGAGATGATATGGGATGAAATATAATCTCAGTAAATTGGTGGTCATTTACTGAGACTTTTTCGTTGGACTTTTTGGAGGATCCCGAGAAGTGACGTCCGGCGGCTTTGTTTCATTTTCCCACATTTGTGCACTTTCACAGATACTAAACAGTTAATAAACCACCATTATTACACATTTAAACCTGAAGAAACACCAAATAGACAAAATAAAACAAATCACACAACTTCACTCCTCCGTTCCCGCCAAAAAGTCGCTGTCATTTTTGTTTTTTTTTTTAATTTTATGACGTGGTGACAGAGACCTTTAGGTCATATCTTATTTGGAAAATGTTCATTAGTTTGGGGCTGTCATTTATAGTTCACTTTTATCATAGATTATCATAGACCTATATAGTAGGGACACGACATATTGTACTATACGTACAATTGCTTATATAAATAGCACCCATTTTGAAGGCACACACATAAACATATATCTATCTCGTTCTTACTCAGCACTTTAACTCGCAGGAAAATAATATAACAGTATTTCAGTGCGTACATAAAATGAAACATGAATATACGTAAATGTCTAATGAGGCCGAAAATCCGCCATGTTGAGCGCTCCAAATGTCATTGTCACGTCAGTTCGGCCGTCTGTTTTGGGTTGCGATTTAATATGATTGCTTATATAAAATTTCATATTTTATCATGCTTAAAACATACAAAAATAATAATTAAAACGTATTTTATAGGATCTCAAGAAAGTCGATGCCCCAAAACTATTATCTATATATATTTAAATTCATTACGGAGCCCTCATCCGAAAAATCATTTTTCGGTCGGAATCTATTGATCATGACACTAATTATAAATACCTCTTTAAAATATGTCATCAAAACATATTATTGACATTCTGTTTAGATATTTCGGGAAAAAGGCTACCGACAAAATCTCTTCGGAACTATTTAAATAAAATAGTTTTATGCCGCAGTGAATAAAACACTATTGTAAATTCGGTAAATATTTAATAATTAAGTGATTTTAGAGAGGAAGTCACAAGGAATGACGTTTGTAATTAATGAATAAATGTTCTGTATAGTGGGATTTTTTATTAGACGAAGTAAACTGACGTTTACTGTGTTGTCAGGTTTTGATGAAATAAAAATAGTGTTGTGACAAAGTGAACGATTGAAAAAACTCCTGAATTAATGAAATTGCCTCGATTGTCTAATGAATAGTAGGTGTGCCGAATTGCCGATATCGGGTACGGGGTTCGTATTTTATGCGTGCTTTGTACATACCAACGAGTTTTCGACGAAATATTATGTTCCTATAGTATCTACCTGTACTGAATACCGAGTGTTTTAAACATTATGAAAAACATTGCGAGGAAGCTTGTAAAACTGTCCTATTTCCAATACATCAGATAGTTGAAATTATAGATGTATAAAATATAACAATTATAGGTATGTAACGAAAATAAAAAAAAGTGTGTGTGTCCGCTCCGACGCACGACTGGAGTTTACTGGATATAAATATAAATTTGTGTCAGTTGAATACAGTAAAATATGGAAGTTACGTATTCTAGTGAGAATGATCCGGGAGTTGCGGAACACGTGGATGCGGTAATTAAGTAAGTCTATATAATTCACTTTTACAATTAATATATAAGTTGTCCATTCACTGATAGAAGGAATTGTTTATATTTAATAAGCTTTATTAATAAATGATTTGTAGCGGGTTATATTCGGGTATCAACCCACTAACAGTTGATACGTTCAGGAATCGAACCCGAACGGCGTCCGGCCACAAGCAAAACGATGTCGGTAAATTAAACGAAACAATACGAGAAATAGTTCTATATTACGACAACACGATACACTACAGATTATTAACAAATTAACGAGACACAAAACAAACGACTAACAAATATATGAAAATACAATAATGAGAGAAACGCGCGATCAGTACGAGGCTTTGTGGCGGATAAATAAAAGTGTGTGTGTCCGCTCCGACGCACGACTGGAGTTTACTGGATATAAAAAATTAAACGAAACAATACGAGAAATAGTTCTATATTACGACAACACGATACACTACAGATTATTAACAAATTAACGAGACACAAAACAAACGACTAACAAATATATGAAAATACAATAATGAGAGAAACGCGCGATCAGTACGAGGCTTTGTGGCGGACTGCCGGCGCAGCAGCCCGGCGCGCATTTCGTGTGACATGCGCAATCAGGCGCATAACGCATTTCGTGTGACATGCTAGTACGATTTTGGTCCCCATAATTTTCATACCCCGGGCCTATATATGTAAATCGATTCTAAAGGCAGTAAAAAACTCCAAAAAAGTGTGCTGTTCCGCTCGACGCACGACTGGAGTTTACTGGATATAAATATAAATTTGTGTCAGTTGAATACAGTAAAATATGGAAGTTACGTATTCTAGTGAGAATGATCCGGGAGTTGCGGAACACGTGGATGCGGTAATTAAGTAAGTCTATATAATTCACTTTTACAATTAATATATAAGTTGTCCATTCACTGATAGAAGGAATTGTTTATATTTAATAAGCTTTATTAATAAATGATTTGTAGCGGGTTATATTCGGGTATCAACCCACTAACAGTTGATACGTTCAGGAATCGAACCCGAACGGCGTCCGGCCACAACAAAACGATGTCGGTAAATTAAACGAAACAATAGAGAAATAGTTCTATATTACGACAACCGATACACTACAGATTATTAACAAATTAACGGACACAAAACACAACGACTAACCAAAAATTATTGAAACATACAAATAATGAGAGAAACGCGCGAGTCCCAGTACGAGCTTTTGGGGCGGGGGACGCCGGGCGCAGCGCCCGGGCCGTCACCTGCGATAACGCGGCCCGCGGTTGGTCCTGATTGGCCACCAGGGCCATCAGCGCAATAAGCATTTCCCGGTGTGCCTTGCTATAACTCTCTAGTCGAATTTTGGTCCCCATAATTGTTCAGTAGCGCGCCGCCGGGTGTATATATGTAATATCGATTCTTAATGGAGTAAACTCCAAAATAAAAATAATTTATACTTAATGGGAAGTAGAGAGGTATATGTTATGTGGCAAATATGATAATGATTTAGAGGTGAAAATCTAAGGACAAGTCGTGCGCGTTCGAATTGCCAAGTGAAACGATATTGATGATTTTTAAAAGTTGCTACACTGATTGTTATAAAGTTGTGTTGCGCAAACATACAAAGATATGGTCGAGTACGAGTTGCCATCTGCCCATTTCTAGCATGCTAATGTTATCGTTATTTTGAGTACCGTGTTTTTCTTAGGACTATTACAATCTATTTTAATTGTTTTGGCTGACCTAAAGTCCGTAACCACACTCGCAGCGCACCTCAAGAAGGTGTGCCGCACCATTTGAATCACTTTCCACGTGAGAGTGATTCAAGAGTTAAACTTATCGAGGACCGCGTGAAAAAAAAAAACACCTATTATAGTCGGATTTTT